GCTACTAGACGAAACTCTGATGTTATTGGCTCACGCGCACCCTGGTTTGTCGCTTTCTATACACCTATCGGCGATGGCTAATTTACTTGAAAGGAGGTCTTAGACTACGGTCTTCTCTGTGCAAAACGAATGTGCAATTCGCTACCTGTTAAGTCACGGGTACGTTGTATCGTCAGGACCTTCTGACAGATCGGCAAACAAGGCAGTGTGAAGGAAATTCCTTTGAAATACGTCTGCTGATTTTCCTACTCATTGATTGCCGCTGCCGGAAGCAGGTACTCGGATGATGTACTAAGTAAAAAAAAGGAATAGAAATCCCCTGAATTACATGTAGCCCCGGGCTAAATTCTAGAAGATTAGCGTGAGGGTTAAGGATGGGGATAGGGCTAAGGTTAGAGTCGGCGTTAAGGTTAAGGTTGAGATGGGGTTTGTGTTAGGATTTACGTTGACTTTAGGATTAGGACAAGGAAATAAATACCCCTTCTTAAATCTAAAACAACACTAATTGTGTTACGGAGGGGCTCATGCGGACATATCTCACCAAAAAATTGTCAAGACTACTCTCAGCACGCCTTCTATTTTCCAAAAGAGGAAACCATATCACGTCTATACGTATTTTCCACTGGGCAGCTCCGATCCAGTACGAGTATGCGACTAGGATGGTTAAGCGTAGATAGGATCAGATGATACTGGACGGTAGAAATGCGATCTCAAGCCGACTTGCCCGAATAATCCATACTGATCACCTTTATGTCATAGTTATTGAAACGTTTCCAACAAGATTCTATGCGAATAGAGCTGGGGTGTGGGAAATAAATGACCTACTCTAAGTTTTCGATTTAAGGTTCTGCGGTACTTGACAGAATACCTGGAATGTTTTATTGATTTCAAGACGATGACTGGCATCTAGCCTTTTTGGGCTGCCCGAATCGGGAAACGCGTTATTTCCAGTTTTTCGAACAAAAGTGAGCTGGCAAATAATCTTCTTAGTGCAAAATCCCACACCAAAAATATGAACTTACTAACAGCGCCAGGGTTTTGGTAAGTGAAAAAAATCAGTCGATTATTTGGCAGGATCAATGGTTTATTTGGTATGGGAGAGGAATGAACAACAGGCGCCATGCCCACTGAACTACGGGAGCAAAGGTAGGTTCTGCTATGTTGGTTCAAAGTGTAAATGCAAGGTGGGCATTTGAAGTAAAGTAAGCCGAAGTAGGATGCTGAAATCGTTAGTGGGGAAAGTGCTCGAGGCTAAAACGAAAAACGCAGCCTGATATATGACAAATCTGCCGCCAGATTGAAGGAAGCGTAGAATCCCCGCGAAAAGACATGGCTGACAGGACACGCGGGGCAACAATACCCGAGACCTAAAGGTAAACCCAACCGTAACCTCAAAAGTAAACCTTATCCTCAACGTAATTAGGCTAGATCTCAGTTGGTAGCCAAACCCTGTATTATAGGTGGCTGGGAGGTTTGCATACTGGGGCTATTTTGTAAGGGTTCCATAATCACATCTGACCCATTTGGCTTCTGTTTTACGTCTGAGGTTAGGATTCGGGTACCGGCTAATGGCGCTCGATTTTCGGGTTAGCGTTATGCCTTTAGGCTAAGGTTTTTGGGTTACGGTTAGGGTTTGAGCTTACGATTAGGTTTCAGTATTGCGGTTAGGTTTTCAGTTACGGCTATGTCTAAGGGTTACGGTTCCATTTACGATTTCAGTTAGGGTTAGGGTTGCTGTTGGGGTTAACGTTTAACGTTTAAGGTTGAGGTTAGGGTTAAGGTTAGGATTAGGGTTAAGTTCGCGCCCGTTTCCCCATTCCTGGCTACCAACTGCGATCTAGCCCGTAATTATAAACCTAATGCTAACCCTAAACTTGGCACTAAACCTTACCCTAAACTAACCACTAACCCCAGTCCTACTCTGAACAAGATCCTAACCCCAACCTCAACCCTTCCCTGACCCCAACCTCAACGTTAAACGTAAACCTAAACTGCAGTTCAAACCCTAACTCTAACGGGAACCATCACATTTTCCACAGACTTTGATTCCAACTTCGATTCGCAGCCTGACACTGACCCAAACCCCCTAAAATAACTCTACCTCTAAATCGAAAAATCAGGTTTTCCGTTTCTGTTTCAGCCTCGGCTACTTTCCTCACCAATGATTTCAGCATCTTCCTTCGGCTTACTTCACTAGCAATTGCGCCTAAACTTTGGACCAGGACAGCGTAAACGACCCTAACCCATTCGTATTCCTAACACCCGAAAACCCACTGACCGAAAATCATCATCAGTAAACTAAGTTTTGACGCTCAAGATAACTCGAAGAGTTATGGACTGATTAATAATGCCCCTTGTAGGGACTGTGTGGACTAGTCCCGCGCAAATAGGACAGGTGCAACTCTAACAACTTTGTGAGGCAGATTCGTTTCTGCTAGCCTTCTCCGAAGGCTTTGATGACATTCTAGGGTAGGTTTTAAACCTCTGCTCTGTTAAATTGCAAAAAAACGTAATTTATGTCGATCGGGGAAGGCCTGTTTTTGGAATGTATCCGCACAAATAATCCTGTCTTACAACTAAAACTTCCTATGAAAAACTGCCAATGGCCTGCATTTTTCTCCGAAAACCCCCAAAAGCCCAACATTGCTGACCTTCGCAACTATCGTCGTCCTTCTGGGTATGCTATTGCAACATCCCGTGTCTTTAGAACCGTTGATTTATTCAAATGCAAGATGAAAGATTTGAGAAAATGTCCTTCTCGAACGACACAGGTTTTCGATCGTCTTGAAAATTTTCTACAGTTTTGGTTGTGATGGGATGGCCTTCGCCAATCATGATACGGGACAGACTCGTTCTGCGCATCTTGGTGATCAGTCTAAAGCTCTTTCAGACAGTAGTTTATCAACAGGTTAGTATACCAGGTGAGGAGTATTAAAAACGTCGAGGGAGACCCAGATCAACAGTTTTAACTTATTAACCGTTTCCCATCAGGCTTACCCATTCTTACGACCGGCTAATGCAACGGCACATGATAAGGCAGAAATGTATCTCATGGTAACTTCATGAGTGATCACTAATACGAATTGGTAGTTCCAACTCCTATATCGTGGTCCCTAAATAGGCACCCGAATGCTGATTTGCTCCCAACTTCCACATTTTCAGATTTTTTGACATTGGCGTTCGCTACGTTAGTGTATGTTTCCTCTGCGCAGAGGACAAGACATTTTATCGATGCAAAAAATGAAAGAAAGATACATCGAACTCAGCCAGTTCAATATCATGCCGTGTCACGCACACACACGCCAACGTTTCTTGACAAAAATGTTCGACAGCCGTTTTGGATGATGTCCACCGTGTGCTCCACCCCAAAGTGAAGCGGGCACGGTGACTTGCGCGTGAAGTATTTTGTAGTTGGAGTAGACTTTCGCAGCACCTACCGCACTTTCTCCTCTCCTCCCGATCCCGGTGTCAGGACATAGTCAAAAATGCAGGAGGCAGGAGGTGACTGGCACGGCCGAGGCCGCAACTTGACGTTCCGCTCCAAACCCTCTGGTCCACAACAAACCCGTGACCAGGATTTTAACCAACAACAGTACAGCGGGTCAGAAAGACGAGGATGACTGGGCACCCGTGGTCATAAGCTGTATACCCCGGGGGGATTGCAAGTGCATCTGACAGCGGGAAAATCAGGTGCCAGTGAACTGTCAGTGCACAATAGGCTTCGAGATCCACGCTTTGCTGAATCATGGTATAGCAGATGCCCACGGTCCCTAAAGCCCACAAGGGTGAGACGCAGTCCTCAATCTACCCTGAGCCATCATCCTTCAAAGGCTGAGTAGCTAGTCAGTCATCCACTGAAAGGCACTACCCATAAGCACACACACACACACATCACGCATGCGTGAGAAGGCTAAAGGTCGCGTTAAGAAGGAGCTGTGGCAGCCTGGCTCTCAACTTTTCCGTCCGCCACTCCACACACACCCACGCAATCGGGTAAATTTCGTGGACTGAGTTGGGGCGTCAGTCAGCAATCTGCTAAGCTACGGCATTTGACGGATTGTGATTGTCTCAGACTCCGATTACGCATACAACAGAGGAGCCATATGGAGAAGGAGCTGAGAATCAAACTTCTCACTTGCGTGAAAAGTGTCGATTGAGTGCCTGCCTTGTGAGGCGATGGGCGATGTTGATGTGTGGTGCAGGTGTGATAGTGCGGTGTAGCCGACAATTGTCTATCACAGGTTTTCATGAATGCGTAAGTGAACTTACAGGCCTATGCAGTGAGTGAATGTGCGTAGGCAGTGTGGTGTGTGGAGGCGGATGCGTGACTGTATGTGGGTGCTCCAAGCGCTGGTTCGTCCGTCTCTGTGCGATGGATTCGCGGGTGATCGACCAGGCCGATGTGTGAGGTGAAGGTGCGATCGCAGTTAGGTCAGGTCGGGATCGAGTTCTCATCATTGGTGTTGGTAGTGGTTAGTTTGTTGTTTGACAGTGCGTCAGGGTTGTGCACGGTGGTTTTGCGGGCGGGAGCTTCCCTAGAAGTTGTTGAGGCGATGGAGGATGGCAGTGGGGAATTTGGGAGGTTCAAGATGTCGATAGGAGGTTAGGTGCGCAGTTAGGGTTGATGGTCGACGTCTGGAAGGAGGACGGGGCGGTATCGACTTGTATCTTCCAGGTACTGCTGTAGGTTTGGCGATGTCCAATAAGACCGACTGGTGCCCGAAACCTCCCCTAACACCGTGAGCGTATCAGGGGCGGTTGTGCGGTGGTGTTGCGAGATGGGGGCAGTTGAGATTCCCGAGGTCCCGCACATCGTGAGCTTGGCTCCGAGATGGAGGCCGTGATGATTCCAGACGAAGGCCTGCAGCCGACCGAGGGTCTAACTGGTTTTTGAAATCCGGCCAGCCGCCTCGTCGTCGATTTTGGTGCTGTGAGTGAGGATGCTTCCGGGTGTCCACGGCTTGCGGCCAGGCGTCATCAAAGTGAACTGTCGGTGCATTCTACGCAGCATTGAGTGGCGGCTGGTGCATAAACACCGTTTTCTCCGCGCTAATGACCAGGCCGAAGTTGCCGCAGGCGGCGGCGAAGAGGTCCATGCTCCTTTGCACGTCTCCTTCAGTAGTTGAATCAAGGACGCAGTCATCGACGAACAGAAGCTCGTGGACGAAAATTATGGGCACACGCAAATGCAAGTGCATCTGCCGCCGATTTGTGAGGTGGTCGTCCATCCTGTAGGCGGTGCGGATCCCGGGGCGTTTGTCAAGGCAGGCGTCCATCAGCACGACAGAGATCATGAGACAGACGAAGGTGGGCGCGAGAACGCAGCCCAGCTTCACCCCGTTGGTCACTTCGAATGCCTCTGAGAAAGCTCCGTTGTCCGTGACGCGAGCCATCATGCCGTCATGTAGCTGACGCACCATCTGAGTGAATTTCTCGGGACAGCCGATTTTCTGCATGCTTTTCCACAGTCCTTCGTGACTCACCGTGTTAAAGGCGTAAGTCGGATCCAAGAAGGTAAAGGAGAGATGGATCCGCATCTCCTGACATTTCTCCTATAGTTGGCGGATGGCGAAGATCATGTCGTTGGTACCCCGATAACGGCAGAAACCGTAATGGCTTTCCGGCAGGAGTCCGTTGTCAAGTTGGCTGCTTTGACGGCTGAGGAGGGTGCGAACGACGGCTGTTCCGACGATGTTCAACGAAAAGATGTCGTTGTGGTTGCATCAGAGTTGACAGTTACCTTTCCGCTTGTACGAATGGACGATTGTGGCCTCCTTGAAATCCAGAAGAACTTGTCCTGGACGCCACATCCCTTGGTACGGCACTGTGAGGAAATTTATAAGTTGGGAGTTGCCGTGCTTTCAAATCTCAGCAGGAATCATATCTGATTCGGGCACTTTCCAGCTCGAAAGTTGCTGCACGGCCTTGATGGTTTTTGGAGAAAGGGCTCGAGTTCGTGGTCGGCGCCCATCCTCACTTAAGTCAGACAGGCGCCGGGTGTTAAGGACGTCTCTGAAGTGCTCAACTCATTGCTTCAAAACTTGCGCATTCTCAGTTCCCTCGGTGCTGACGGGAGGAGCGGTTCCTCCGGCTGTGGGACCGTGGACAGGCAAGAAGGCAACAAAGAAGTTCTTCCATTCGTTGCGGTACGCGTACCCTTGGATCTCTTCGGGCTCGTGAGCCGTCCAGGCCTCCTGTATTTCCGGCAGCCGCTGTTTCAGAAGGCAGCGAAATCGATTGAGGGCTGTTTTGTTTGCGTCAGTAGGGCGGTCAACGTAGGCTTTGTGAAGCCGGTTCTTCTTGGCGAGCAGTTTTGCAAATGGTGGCGTCTTCGTCGTCGAACCAGTCCTGATGTTTACGGCGTGCGCGACCAAGCACAGCCAGGACAGTTGACTGCATCGTGTCCCTCAGCTGGCACCGCCGGTTCTCCACGATGACGTTCTCGTCGGTGGCGGAAACTGAAGGTTGGATAACTGTTGAGCTGGCTCACAGCTGAAGTGCAAGTGGCGAGCAGGCACATTCAGCTTACCTGGTGGTCGCCAACTTTGAGGTCTCCCAGTTAGCTAAAGGCGGATCCTCGTTCTGGAGATGACGGGACGATGGTCCATTAACCCGTCGGCACATGGAATCACCATTGTCACCACCACATTCTGCTGGTCTCGCCTCCGCACGAGGACATAATCCGGCGGGTGCCAGTGCCGCGACCGAGGGTCCATCCAGGTCGCCTTCTCTCGCGTCGGAAGGCGGAAGAAAATGTTGGTCAGGATGAGGTGGTGTTCTTCGCGAATTCGTAGAAGGAGCAGGCCATTGTCATTGAGGCCGTGGAGACCAGTGGGGCCCATCACTCCTGTCCAGGCAGCATGGTCTATGCCGACGCGAGCGTTTAAGTCACCAGGGACAACTAACTTATCCGCCTTCGGAACAGTCGCCAGGAGGTTCTTCGTGAAATTTGTTGTTTGCCGCTCCAGAGATGGACATTGGGCTGGACGCAGACGCAGACTATGGTGGCAAAGTTACCTCCCGAAGAAGCTAGGACAGAGAGGCCAGTCGTCCCGCGAAGTCGCTCCGGATTGCAAAGGCGACGTCGGCATCACGTCGCTCCGCCTGTGGGCGGCCGCTTCAGAAAAAAAGTGTAGCTGACACTCACCTCGTCCAGTTGGCCTTGTTCAGAGAAAAGAGTCTCCGGCGAGTGCAGTGACTAGCGTTATCCTTTGTTCCGGTCGGCCGCGCCTCGGATTGTTTAGAGGGAGCGAAAATTCCAGGCTGCCAGAATGAGAAGACTCACCCGTGCAGCCTGCCGGCGGGGGAAGGGAGGGAGAAGCAGGAAGAGAGTTAATATTACGGTAGAGTGGCGCTCGCCGACTGCGTTACTGAACTCTCTCCTTCCGCTGTTGGTAATGTTATTCTAAGTAGTATTTTTTCTCTTGTGATGAGTTCGACCGCATATACAGTAATCTGCAAGCCACAGACTGCGTACAGAGGACATAAACGCAGCTTCCTGAAAGTCACCTTTCATCGCTCTCTCCCCTCACGGGGTAAGCGGTGTTCACCTTAAGTAAGATTGCTTAGACGTACCAGACGGATACCGCTCTCCAGCTAGGGTCAGCAAGTCTAATGAGAGCATGATCAATGGCCTAGGCCCCCCTCGCCGCCGGACATTGTTGACCGTGGGGAGGAAGATTGGAGTGGAGAGCAGAGAGGCAGAGAAGGGAGGGAAAGGGCATAAAGTCGGGAGGGAAGGGGAGGGAAGGGCAGATGAGGAGAGGAGTGGAGGAGAGAGAAAATATCAGCATATAAGGAACAAAAAAGGCTAGCAGATATGCATATTAGAAAATTCCCATATAAATGGCAAGCAAAAACGACGATCCAATTTCAAAACCCCGCCATTATAACTGCGCGTTGCTCCTGTCGGCATGCTATTTTCTCCAGCACTGTCTCTATGGCCCGCAATTTAGGCTTGATTTATTGCTGCCATGATGACAAATGGTCTTTCCCAGCTCTCGCAAGGGCGATGGCGACGTTAAGATGACCGCGGCCATTACTCGCGTCTCATTCATTCGCATTTAGTGTCCCAGGCCCGCACATCTAGTCCTCATTCCCCGTCAGCGCCTGTTCGCTCAGGCGTGGTCGGTGGTGTCTACGCTGGTGCTGACATCAATACCGTTGTCTGACCGGCAACGCTCGTTATCAGCGTTCATGCCTGTCTGCTCTCAATCCAGACAGGCTTCCTGAGTTTGCGTCCCTCCCCCCTGCGCTCCTGTCTGATATGCATTCACCCGCGCCCGCTTTCTTGTTTGGTCTAGTTCATTCTGCAGCCCAGTTTGATCTCTCTTTTTGCCCGCGATTCCGCTGACTTAAAATGAACGCGTAGGGCTTGGTAAGTTGCAGAGAGATTCACACAACGGTTGATGGAAATGTTTGCGGTGTCAGACCGCGGACCTCTTTTTGAGGCTTTGGTCGTTCCGTCGGTCGGGGATTTCCGAGTTGTCGAAGGTAAAGTGTGCCCTGTAGCCAAGCAGTACTTTGAACACGGCGAGGTTAAATCTACCTTTCTCACTGTGAGTCTGCAATTATTTTCAATATCTCCAACGTAGTTCGCTCCACAGGAGGCGCGATGAACACGAAGGACGGTGTTAAACGCTCGGTCTCCTGATGGTGATTCTATGGATTACCTAAGATGCACAAATGCCGTGTCTTTGCGAGACATGTCGGCATTCAGCCTCGTCCAGTGACTGTTCCGGAGACTGGCAGTGTTTTCGTGGATGCGCATGCGGCCGAAAAGGTCCCTGCGGTGCGTGAACGCGCGAAGCCAGTGTGGACAGTGGGGGCGGATGCGACAGATGTTGGTTGTTGCTTCAGGCACTGGTTCGCCAGTCTCTGTGCGATGGACTCGCGAGTGACCGACCAGGCCGATATGTGAGGTAAATGTGCGGAGACATTGTGGACACTAGGAGCCGGTGGTGTCGATGTCAATTACGGAGGTGGTGGTGGTGGTGGTGGTGGTGGTGGTGGTGATGATGATGATGGTGGTGGTGGTTGTGGTGAGGGTGGTTATATTTTGTCCACGCACAATGTGCCGCAAAAATGGCGGCTGCTTTCCAATTTCTAATTTTCGTTGGTCAGGTGATAATGATAATACATTTCCCCTTACTGCGTGGATTCGTATCCCACCGAGGCGCCGAGTTTTTCGCAGTATGGTCAGTATGAATTGTTCAAAGTCTGCCAAAACATCTATAAATTTTGTGAGACTGGTAGTTATCTGGTTGATCCTAGGTGAATTACTTAGGAAATCCTGCTTGGACAGCCAACTTACTGTATCAGATTTGGTGGATTCCAGACGTTGCAGTAGGTTGGGCGGGCAAATTTGGCCCAAATGTGGTTAAACTCGCGTCGTCCGGCGGGGCCTCGTAGCTGAAGTTGTTAGAGCGTTGGCCTTACTTAGGCCTTGCCCGTACTGCGTGGGTTCAAATCCCACCGAGGCGCCGAGTTTTTCACAGTTGGGTCAATATGAAGGATAATATATTTCTCCAGCAGAAGTGCAGCATATCCTAGCACCCGTTCCCGGTTGTTTTCCGACCTCCGACCAGCTGATGGGAATGCAAGGAATCGTCAACCCCTTACTTGCCCAGCTTTCGCTTCTCTGTTCCGCCTGCACTAACTCTGTCGTACTTAAAGTCTAGGATTATAAAGATTGTTCAAGGTCTAGCTGTAATCAGCTGCGGTTAACCTCCCCTTCACCCCAGAGCCTACTGAGATCTACTCGACTACTCCGACGAATTTCTTCCTCTCGTCCCAGCACAATTATCACTTTCCAGTATCATGCCACTTTCGGTGTCAAAATTCGTGGCTGCATTCCTCTTTGATCCTTCTTAGTGCACAGAATGTTTCAGTCTGGAGTTCAGTGCATACTTGCTACGCCTATGACAATCGGGATAGTGGAAGTTTCCTGGTTGATACTAGTAAACAGCTTAGTGTCATTCCTCCAATAGCAGTCTACTGTTGGTGCCACAACCTTGACTTCTTCCTCCAGACCGTCATAACCTCGCAGACTACCACCTTAGATTCGTGTTCCCTTTTCCTGGATATTGGTCTTTGGCACCACCACTTCGTCTTTGCTGACGTCTCCTGTGCCATTCTTGGTGCAGGCTTTCTTGCCACTTTCGGTCACACTGTCAACTGTGACAGCTTCGTCTGCATGACCGGGTCACCAATCCCAGGATGTCCTGGACGGCGCCCCTCTTCTGACCCACTCCTTATTAATACCTAGCGGGTTAAATACAAGCTATAACTCACTTCTTTATAAAGCCGTTATCTGAGTAATCGATCTATAGCACATTTAAAGGGGAACTTCGGGCTGTACGCGACGCCTCAAAACACTACCTTACCTTCCTCGAGGGCAGGGGCTTCACCGTTTTCATAGATCATGAGATCCTTACCTTCGCTTTCTAGTTCTACTACGACAAGTGCAACCCTCCAAGTGCACCACCAACTGGGCCCTACCGTCCATTTCGTTCCAAATATTTCCCATATCGAAAGATCACGGAGAAATGAGGTGACCGGCGCACTATTTAAATCTATAGCCCTCTCTCACACGGGGTCGACCTCGTCAGGATGTCTGCCGAAAACTGCCGTGTTTGTTCGCTCTCTCTGACGCGAGCATTACCGGACTCAAAATTCAGGATTCCTGACCACTGGCGACACCACCACCATTCCTTGCAACGTCTTCGCCGCCCCCCACCGTCTCTTTCTGCCGCCTTCCACTCGCCGCAAGGCCATCTCTTCCCTGCACAACCTCCGGCACTTTTTGAGCCGAGCCACCGACAAACTGCAGTTTGTCTAACCTGGTATGCACAAGGATTTGGAGGCTTGGACACGGACCAGTCTCGTCTGTCGTCGGGAAAAGTCCAGTGCTACAAAGAGGCTCCTGAGATGAAGAAGAAGAAGAAGAAGAAGAAGAAGAAGAGGTCAATGTAACAAGAACGTTACTGGCCTGACGTTTTGGATTCTCGCTCAAACCCATAATCGGAGATAGTTGCACCTGCGACTTAGATGTCGTAATGATTTTCTTCGGCCTTCTTCCGGCTTCTCTCGCAACGGTGACCAGTGAAAGTCTTCTAGCCAAGTGTCGACGATATTGGGTGGACTAGTGAGTCCGCGTACTAGGCTTGTCACATGTTAGACTCCTGGAGTGGTTTATGGCCCACGGTAGTTCAATCGTCTGTTTTGACGATGTCCACCGTAGTGATTTGGGGCATACACACAGACGTGGTCTAGTCCAACTAACACCTATCTTAAACCAGTGCAGCCTGGTTTTTTCCTAGCAGCCCTTTTAAGGATGCGATTGGCTGCAGGCAGCAGTCATCGCGATTGCCCTGAATTGAGTGCTTCTTCTGTACGTAGGCGGAAACCAATTGTGCACGTGAACTTACGTGTGATTACGTATGCAAATGCACTGAGCGGATGCAAGAATAATTGATCTCGTGGTTGCTCAAGCCCATGCCAAAGCGACTGTCGGCGGTGTGAAAAAAGAAAGCAGCAAGTTTACTAACAAAACACGCATGGTATGCCAGGGCAAAAAATTAATCCCAAGATGACATTTAAGGACCTCCTTTTTGGCCAGAAGTCACAGAAATACCGGGACAGGTGCGAGCAGTGGTTGACGCAACAACGTTTTTCCTTATCACTTCACAATACCTCCTGCTGCATTCATCACCATCGTTTACTTAACGAATCGACATTCCGTGGGTATGTCTTAGAACACACGCATGCCATTGAGTAAACAGTTACAGATAGTTTAGGTCTGAATGGAAGATTGTGACACCTAATTAGACAACTGAATCCA